ATGTTTTAATTATTGCCTTATAATGTACCTACTTACTAAAGAACTTAATATATTCAAGCCAATTAAATATTATTATTGAATAACAAGCTATTATTTTTAAAGTTTTTTTATGTTATAGGTTGTTAGTACATTTTAACAATTATAGTACCTACCAAACTTTAAAAATGTTCAGTCACTAATTACATAAGACTTTTTAATGTGTTATTTGTATGTAATTGTTAGATATAATATGGACTTATATTAYCTATAGGGCTATAGCTGTGTAGGTGTCTCTATACTCTATATCTATAGAAACATTAAAATTAATTAGTTACAATTTATCATCTAAAACAACACTACCTTCTTAAGCATTAAGATACTTTATAGTCTATACTTATTCATAACCTACCAAGATAAATATTGTAAGTACCTACTTAAAAATGGTAATGATTGACAATTGTTGACAATTACTGTACATTAGTAGATTAGACAAATTAATTKCTGAAACATATTTACCTTACAAATGTAAATTCTGATACCGAAATGTCTAAATTGTAATAACCATATTTGTTTTTAATATGTGTAATAACATCTTGTGTCTTTTGCGATTTTAAATTCCATGTGAATAAACAATGCAAAGATTTTATTTGGTTCGATAATTGTATTTCATTGGTATATTCAACAGGTATTTGTTGTTTTTTTTCAACACCAACCAAGTCAGAAGAAATTGATAAATGTTTAGTACTAATGTCCAAAGGTACTACATTAGAAACGACTATATTTTCAATAGAATCATCATCTTTGATTTCATTCAATAATTTAAGAACATCAATATTTTGACTATTATGTTCAATAGTATTTAGTTTTGATTCACTGTTATTTTCATTTTGTTTATTAGATATAGCTACAAGCGATTTAAACATTGAAGAAAACATTTTCGATCTAGTAAAAAGAAAGTGAAAACAATTTAAAACAATTTAAAACTTAGGTATATGATGGAATAAAAATCTGCTTACGTGGTTTTTTTTTTGTTTTGCTTTCCTCTTGCTACCAGAATTTCAACAGACTTTCGATTGAATGGTATGATGAATTGATGAGTTTATGACGGTCGACTGGGTTTTACATCGTAAACGCAGAAAACCGTCCGTCGAATACATTAAAATTTTGTAGGGAAACCCCTGACGACAGCGAATTGCAAGATCATAAGAACACGGTATCCAGTCGACCATTAAAATTTAATTTATTCGGTTAAAACTTAAAAATTATTGAGTATTATAAATATTAACATATCTACTGAATTACTGCGCAGTTACGGCCATATACAGGTCATATCTCTCGAGAAATTGAACTGATGTTGTCTACGATCTACGTCAGTAATAGTCGTGCTCATTCGCACGGAACACCGGACTCCCACTTTACACTTACAAGTGGCAGTCTACTACTGCGGTGCAAACTGCAAACTGCAAATGGCAAAATAGCAAATAATATATTATATTATATTTTTTGTCATTTATTCTTGTTTTAAACCGGTTTATGGCTTATTGCACTGCTGCCATAATCCTAATCCCAAAGATATTCGCTATTAGCAATAAATTAGGTAATTTACTAATTTAGACATTTATGGCATTCAAGTAAATTCAACTTCTATTGTCGTGTTCCTCTTATCTAATAGATACCTAACGAGTTGTATATTCCAGGTGACCATTGATACATACATGTATATGTACACATATATTTATATATTATTTACGTAGATAACAACCTAACTAATCACACCACGATTTATAATAATATTATTATTATACCTGTTATAATAAATGATAATGGAAAAAGACCGTAACCTACTGCAAGTCTGTTGWATAGTACCTATATTAGTATTACTAATTGTATTTAGAAATATACTATAGAGTATAGAACTTTAGACTATGGAAAATAGTTATAKGTATGGTAAGTGCGTCTCCAGGGTGGCAATACAGAGCACTTGCCCCCCCCCCTAGAATTTTAAATTTGTTTTCCAAAGCATTATCTATAACGCGCCAATTGAGTTAACATAGATTATTTTAAAAATGTAAGTATTAAACGCATAAAAAAATCTTCATATATTTTTTCAATTAATTTTACCCCTCCCCCTCCTTATCTAGAAAATTTCTGGGGATACCCATTGTTGTAAACACAATTTCATAGGCACAATTTCAAAAAAAAAAAATAAGGTTACTGAAGCTATGTAATTTCTAAAAAATGTATAATTATGTGGTACGAATATTGAATAACATTGTTTTATTCACTATACTCCGATAGGCTACAGAGTGATCCATTTAAGTGGATACTCTAGTTATCTCGAAAAATATTAACTTTTTTTGAATTTCTTYTTTTAACTTTTAGGGTTTATTTCTCTAAAACTGTATATAATTTTAATTTTTTCACCCTTWTATTTATTGGTAAACCACTACAACAATATCATGAATTAATAAAACCATTTTTATCACGAATTTACGTGGAACATTTTTATTTTTCATTGGTGGTTTACGAGATATACTTCCCATAATAGTAGTAGTAGTAAGATTTTTATTATTTTTCCAACAATTGTAAAGACCAGGAGCTAGTGATAAATTCGATATCGTTGAATCCAAGRTAACAAAATAAATAACAATTAATTAAATATTAAGATAGTACTTTGAACCCTAATCATTTATTAACTTACGGTATCGAATTTATTATTTATAGCTCCTAATCTTTACAAATGAAGAAATAGCATTAAGATTAAACAATGCCGTATTTATCGACTATAACACAGTGGCGGTTTTTAGGGGGGGGGCGAAGGCCCCGCTCGCCACCCCCTTGGATTTTTTTTGTGTCAACTGTTATGTTCTGTAAATTATATATGCATATATATAAGTTATATATGCAACTATTATGGAGGGTGGGGGGCACAAAAATTGAAAATAGCCCCCCCCTTTATGTTTTATCAAAACCGCCACTGCTATAACAGCTCCTTCAACAGTTTAACCATCAATACTTTGAGGAGCTGTATCTCGCAAACAAATCAACGAAAAATAAAAATGTTAATCCATAAATTCATAATTAAAATGGTGTTTTAATAATTCGTGATATTTTTATATATTACCATTTGAAAATCAAAAGTTGATAGTGGTGGTTTCACCAATAAATATAAGGGTGACAAAAAATTAAAATATTATACGGTTCCAGAAAACATAAACATAGAAGTTAAAAAAAAAAATTAATACTATATAATATTGTTCTGTGATATAATTACCCACTTAAATGGATCACTTTGTATATAGTATCTGATAAAGTGATAACAAGCTGTTTTTGGTTTTGTTTTTTTTTTTTGTAAACAGAGGTTTTGAATGTGTTGATACATAAATACCAAAAATATGGAAGGTACTAATCGTAAAATTGGGGGTACTTAAAATACCTCCTACAATCGAATCACCGAACAAAAGTCCGGAGAAAAAAAGTCCGACGAACAAAAGTCCGGTTACAAAAGTCCCACGAAAAAAAGTCCGATGTCATAAAAGTCCCGCGAAAAAAAGTCCGGCTTAAAGATACCCAATAAATCGAAAATCATGTAGTTATATTTTTATATTATTATTTTTATTATCTTTTTTATTAATTAAGTACCAAATAATTATAAATAAATTACATTGTTTTTTATATTTATACGAATAAATCCTTTTTTTAATGACCTTTTATAAGTGCTTTTTTTATTTCTAGTGCATATTTATAAGTTTACGGGTCATATATAAGCGCAGAACTGWACTAGAGCAGCTGTACCTTAAACTTATTCTTTATAATCTGGTGTACATAATTTTCGATAGTGGTTTACCCCTCGTAAATAAATAAACCGGACTTTTTTTCGCGGGACTWTTGTTCGTCGGACTTTCTTTCGCCGGACTTWTAGGTATAATTCCCCTACAATCCTCTCCTCTAATTTCGCCTATGCACAATCAAAAATTAAGGATAATATATACTAAACAGGATACTCAACGCCCGCTGTCGCTTAGAAATAATAACTTATATAACTAATCTCCTAAGCCCAGAGGGTAGTTAAAAAAAAAATCCACGGAAAAAAAAGCGGGCAAGTCGTGGATGTCGCTCTGCTGTACAGTAGGTTACAAGAGGGTTACCTACTGTAATGGATGGAATTAAATTTGAATCCAATGATATTATATCATTGTATACGAAAAACGATTCTAAGCGGAGACGGTTTATCTGTCTAGGATATATTATAGATTATTAAAAATTTTCAAATCTTAGTTTTAAAAAGAAAAATTTTTATGAATTTCTAGTTTGAAATAATTTGCGAATTTTCGTGATTTTTACATATGTTGTCAAAATTCAAACTT